CCCCCACGGCTGAAAGGGCGAGCATGTTTGGTGTGACGGGGATTCGCACCCGCGACCCTCAGATTGCGAGTCGAGTGCCCTAACCACCTGGCCATGCCGGGCACATGGAAGTTTTTATTCATGATAAAAGGTTGTGGGACTTATCATTCATACCATAATAAAAAATGTTCCTCTTTATAAAGACACATGTTTCATATTAAGCATCACATATTGTTTTTTAAACATCTAATATCTTTTTAGAACATTTAGTTTGGAATCTTTATTTTACCTTTATGTATCAACCTCGGCTATGTGCACAACTGTAATTATGATTATGGAAATTTTATCAGTTGCATCTTATTTTGAATATTTCCAGCTGGCTGATGCTGTTACTATTAATGTTTTGTAAACACGTAATAATTGTTTAAAACGTTTAGTTGGAAATCCTTATTTTACTGGTATCAACCTGTGCTACAACTATAGATATAATCAAAACTAGTCATTTTGTAATTGACTAAAAACAAACAGCCACTATGACCAGGGTCGAACAAAAAAAACTTGTTAAACTTTGACCACCAAAGAAACCTAAAAATAGAATTTGCAACTTCACAATTTTTATATCATTTTTAATAGTAGAACTCATAAGTGATACTTTTTTTTTGTGGTAATCCAAACAAAAAGTTATAGAAATTAAAATGTTTTCTCATTTTATGTATTTCAACATATAATAATTGTACTTGTGAATTCTGTTCTTCCACACACATATATAGATTTTCTGGAGTAACTCAAGTGTGGAGATCTCATGGAATTTTTGAATGGACATATTTTATCTTGACATTTCCATTCACTTTTATTTATCATTCATTTCTTAATATCATGAATTTTCTTTCTTTTCATATAGTTTTATAAATGCATTAACAATATTAACTTCTAAACTAACAGTCGGGGTAGATTGGTGTGTTATCATAGATATGAAATTTGATACTAAAATTTCCTTCCTAGAATAAAACTAATTTTTTTTACTTTAAATTATGCACTGCATGCTTAGTATTTCAAACTCTGAAAGAAATGTAATTGAATTTTGATTACAAATAAGTTAGAGCCCATGGAGTAGGTTTGTATTGACATCATTTTGATACAGGTTTAATCACTTTACTACTGTAAAGATGTATGCAAAATTTTAAACATTATCTTGCTAAAAGTTACATGAAATCCCAGAGAATTCTTATCCACTTTAACAACCATATTTTCAATCATTGGGAGATTCTATTCAGGCTGTATCAATCATCTGTGGTATTGTTTTAGCTACTGTACAAAGCAGCTGTGCGTTTTACATGTATTTTTACTAAAATGAAATTTTAACATACCATTTTAAATTTGACTCTTTAGTATTCTTGCAATTAAGATCATACAATGGGTACAAGTCTTTCTGAGATCTTTTTTGTTCTTGTGGTAGTTTGTTTTATAAAAGTAGTATTAATTAGAATTATTGAAAAAATATACTATGGAACTTAAAACGTTTGTAGCATTTTTTGTTAACTCAAAGCTATGTTACATTTATAGAACAAATTGAATCATTGAAGAACACAAAAATTATATCTAATGAAATGATAGTATGTTGAGAGTAATTATCAATTAATAGTAATCAGTTGGAAACATTTTGTGAAAGCAGTGGAATGAAATGAGGAATATAATCCAACTGACATGCTTGAGAAAAATATAATCTTTATAAATTTATTTATTTTTAATAACTATGTGTACCTAAATGACTTTTGACAAGTTGATCAACAGAAGTGACTGTATATTCTACCTTCTTCAGCTTTTTTATATGTATCTTTAAATCAGTTTAAAATAATTTGAAATGAGAAGTGACTGGTAACTGTTCTAAATTTAATTTCTTCTTTGCTTTCTAAGACAATTGTTCCCCCCCAGTGGCACAGCGGTATGTCTGCGGACTTAGAACGCTAGAAACCGGGTTTCGATACCCGTGGTGGGCAGAGCACAGATAGCCCATTGTGTAGCTTTGTGCATAAATTCAAACAAACAAGACAGTTGTCTGAAAAATCTTAACAGGACAAACATTAGTGATTTAAATAAAAAAAAATTCTTTAATTTGAAACACTGACAGATACAACTGCTGTATTTGCATGCATATTTACAAAATAACTGAGAGATATGACTGCTGTATTTGCATGCATGCATGTTTACAAAATACCTGACAGATACAACTGCTGTATTTGCATGCATGTTTACAAAATAACTGACAGATACAACTGCTGTATTTGCATTCATGTTTATAAAATAACTGACAGATACAACTGCTGTATTTGCATGCATGTTTACAGAATAACTGACAAATACAACTGCTGTATTTGCATGCATATGCACAGAATAACTGACAGAAACAACAGCTGTATTTGCATGCATGTTTACAGAGTAACTGACAGATACAACTGCTGTATTTACATGCATATGCACAAAATAACTGACAAATACAACTGTTGTATTTGCATGCATGTGTACAAAATAACTGACAAATACAACTGCTGTATTTGCATGCATGTTTACAGAGTAACTGACATACAACTGCTGTATTTGCATGCATATGTGCAGAATAACTGACAGATACAACTGCTGTATTTGCATGCATGTTTAAAGAATCTTGGAAGGGATCTAAAAAGTGTTAATCATTAAAAGCTGTATAAAAGTATAATATTTGGTGCTGGGCTTGAAGATAAAATTTAGTGTTACTTATTTTGATCTTTTGGAAACTATTTATCATTGGACAGAACCATCTTATTCCTTTTCATGATATTCTTCTATTGGACTAGCATATGAGTTATTAGTGTAGTATGATGCATTAGATAGTAGAAGGTATATAAAAAATATGTATATTTACATCTTAGGAGGTAACATTTATTTTATTTAACTGATTTTGTTTATATCTAACTTTAAAATGATACTCTTAAACTTATATGAAAAGGATTTTAAGGAATCTCATTGGCTTGTAATCTCTAAGTAATAATGCAACAGAGAGTCAAATTATATTTTTACTTTTCCTTTTCATAGCCCAAAACTAAATTTTGTTTGTCTTAAAATGGAGATGACAAACAAAATCCAAGACACTCTAAGTAAGTCTACTAAAACAGGTTTGTTTTTAGGTTGTAAGATTTTTACAATTACATTGTTTACCAAAATTAAATGAGTAATCTAACCATCAATGGTTAAAAATCTCTCAGTTCAAACAACAGTGTTTTAAAATTGATCTCTCTCTTATTATCATATGCATGGAAAGGAGAGCACGTAATGTAATTTTATAATGAAGTAAATATAAATTTTGTCCTTGTAGTGAGATGAAACAATCAATTGACTACAAAACCTGCTTTATGATTGAAGTTCTGTCAGGGGGGGAGTTTTTATATCTAAAAAAAAATCATACTTTTATTTTAAAGTAATTATGCAGCATGAAAATTTAAAAACTTCAGTTTATTCCGTTGTAAATGCCATAGAATCTGAACTTTTTTAAGCCTAGATACTTTGTACATTTTTAGGGTTTTTATCTTTTTTTTTTATTATTGAATTTGATGATACTTACCGTATTCTGTAAATATATATCGTAAAGCTGAAGTGTCGTTTAAGAAGTCAGGTGAAACTAACGTTAAGGAAAGAATGCTTGGGAAAAGTTGCTCATTACTAAACTTAATACATGTGCAAACAATTATATGGCTCTAACGAAACATTTTCAACTAGCAATGATTATACGTGTATGTACGTTATGTATCTCTTATTATATGTAACATTATAGAAATTTACATAATGTTTTGAGTGAAATCATCATTAGTCTGTATAACCTATAGTTTAAATAATAATTATTCACTAGTCTACCAAAAAGAAAATACTTAGTCAAATTAAAACAAAATAAATAGAGTAGTGGTACGTTCTCAAACGTTTTTATGTTTGTGGATCAGCTGAACTTTATTTGTGTCAGCAGATCCAAGAATAAATAATAAACTATACTGCCTTCCTTTCCATAAGCATACATAACCTTTCCAAGGACCACAGATAGAGGATGTTTTAGATAGAATGTTTATGGTACCGAGTGATGCATGGAGGTTTAAAAACCCGAGAATTCTTGGTCAGTATAAATCAGCGGTGTCCAACACGGTCACCACTCGCCACATGTGGCGGAACGGCTATTGACCTGTGGTGAATTGGTGCTTTACTTCTACCACCTGTTTTTTTAAATATAATTTTTAACAAAATTCATTTATACATGTACCAGTTTAAAAAAGTGTCCACTTTTTTTTTTATTTTGATGGTAACTTACTTTTTCTGCAGTAAAAATCAAAATATAGGTTGCAGATATTGGACGAAAATTTGGGGGCAGAGTTGAGATGTAGTCTAACTGATTTTATGCCTGATTTCCCTGCACTACTTAATGAAATGTCAGATTTCTCATTAATTCTATCATTAAATAATTGAAAACATTATCATGTATTTTTCTACCTCTCTACATCTATAGAAACACAGTTAATGTTTCTTTCGTCACGTGGCCAAAATGTTAACACTTTCTCCACAATATTGCCGATTATCTAAAAACTGTTGGACACCGCTGGTATAATAACTATAAATGGATCAAAACATGTAATTAAATTATCTAATCTAAAGTGAATACATCAAATAAATAATACAAGGAATACAGGAAAATGAAGAAACAAAAAATATTAAATTGAAAGAAACTAAGCATCAAGAAATAGGGAGATACAGAAAGAAGTTTTTAAGTAGCTACAATATACATGAATACACAATAGTAAGTAGAGCATGTCAGGCTAAGGGATGAAATAGGATATTAACTTTGCAAACTAAATTCCAGTGACTCTTGCTAAAATGAGTATAATGAAAAGTTTTTTTTTTTACTTATACTGAAGTGTGTTACTGAATTTTGTTTAGAACAGTCACAGAAAAAAAAGGTGGGCATATACAATAATTTGGTTTATACTTCTCTGATCTTTACCTTTTACTGTGCCTCTGTTGTAGGTACTAGACTTGTTTCCAATGGTAGACACGTTCGTTGTCTTGTGACTATATGCCAGTTTGTTAGTATATGCTTGTCTACAGTTGTTAATTCTAGAAATATGAAAATCATGCCACTTAAACAATCAATGAATTGTTAGGTCTTTAACACTAACTACTTTTATCTTTTGTACAGGTTTCACTTGTGGAGCTTTTGTAGAGGTGAAACTACACAAGTCTGTAAATTAATCACAAGAAACTAAAACCTATTAGTGTTTATTTCATGAGTTATGAAATATTTTAAAGGTGTTTTATATTATATACATAATTTTTATTTTTCTTGCTATGCATACTCTTCTACACACACAGGGTTGTTCTTACTACAAAGTCAGCAAATAAATACTCGCCAAATTCTGTTGTGAATGTGCTCATGAGGTACTTCTTTATATTTCAATCTTATAACATTAAATTTATGGTTGTGGTGCTTATTTTTAAACACTTTGAAAGGATGATAGACTAAATCATGTTTAAAAACATCAGCTAATGTATGTATTTTTCAGATTTTACAGACCCATTTCAGAACGTAATGGATTTTAGAGTTACAATGAAATATATGGACTTTTATCAAGGAACATATAGTCAGGTCTGTTTCTTTTTTCTAAATAAATATTTGCACATGGTCATTGGGTTTTTTTTTTCTTCACATGTTACTTCTTTAATTGATGTAACTAATTTTGTGAACGGTATGATGCTGAATTTAGAAACCTAATCTTCAGCTGTGTATCAGCATCCATTTATTTACTGTAAACGTTTCCTTGTGTTTTTTATAGTAGGTGTTTATAATTTTTGTACTAAATTCAACTCTAAGTGGTTTACACTTATTGATTTGTTCTGCCTTTTATTGTCTGTTAATAACTTTTTTTTAATAGAATATAATTTTATTGTCAAACACATAACTATATGATACACTACCAAACTATATTTTAACTATTACAGGCCCCATATATTAGCAATATATATATATATGTTTCAGTATAAAAATATTTTTAAAATAACATAAAGAGTTGTTAAAAATATTTCTAAAGTCATTTTTATATTGTATCATTTTTATTAATCACTTCCTTCAGCAAAATATATTTGTTTCCTTGTGCACACATATATATATATAAAAGAAAACACTGGAACATCAACTTTTTTTTTCCCCCTTCTCTTATTAAGTTCTTCTACCTGGTTTTGTGGCTTCAAAGGCCACTCTTCAAGAAATAGTTTGACTGAAACATTTTTTTCTCTTCTGTAAATCTTGGTAATTGTTTTTTCGTGATAGGAATTGTGAAACCATAAAGACAATTGCTAAGATTTACAGAAAAGAACAAATTCTCAGTAAAACTGTTTCCCAAAGATTGACCTTTGAAGTCATGAAACTGGTAGAAGAACTTAATAAGAGAAGGGAAAAAAAAGTCTGATATTCCAGTGTGTTCTTATTTGTATCCACAGGTGAATCTTATTAATGTTTTGGTTTTATATATACACACACACACACACACACACATAAATACATGAATACATATATTTAAAATTGTAACATGTATTTTTTACATAAAACTTCAAAAATTAACTTATTTTAACATTCGCATGATCTTTGAGACCGAAATACCACAAAACATGTACCGTTTTGTCTAACTCATTAAATTTTAAAAACATTTACTTTGATGTTCAGCTTATCTACCAGAAGAATGTAGAGATAAAAGTTTTTAAAATGAGAATTTTTATTTCAAGTATTCAAAAAATCATAACGTTTGATGATTTTTTTCAGTTAACGTAAACCATTTTTGATATTAAAGTGTTTGTCCATCAACATACTGTTACGACAGCGTAAGTCACGTGATGCTGGTAACACGTAATGAGTATCTAGAAGGTTCCTGAAAGCTCGAGTGTTTGCCAGACGCCCTCTATTTGTATATATAAGACTGGCAAGAAGTGACGGCATGTATAGAATTGCAGAGACGGACAATTGAGTCAAGCACGGTAGTAGCCGTAAGTG